CTGTGCCATTCCACATTATTACAAATAACTTCATTTCTGGACATTTATGGTTTGATTTCTTTGTATGTATGGATCACTTGGGTTGTTACCGACATTCTGTGAAAATTTCATGTCATTAGCACCTCTAGTAATATATTTACTGAGAAAAATGGTGACGTGTTCAATATTTATTTTACCCGCTGTATGTTAGTTACGAAGATAAAATCAATTTTATTCAGAGAATGTCACATCTGTCACAAAAAAACAAGGAAAGCGCAGCAAAGGTGAAGTGTTTTGATTGATTTTGCTTTCGCTTTATTTTTGCAGCAGCATTAGAAAGATGCGTTAACTTGATGAGTAAAATCCTGGCGCTGCTTGTTGGACTGACCTGAAAAACAGGTGTAGCAGTGAGTGGAAAGGTGTTGGGGCTTTACGAGTTTCCCCGAGGAAGGGACTGGCCTTTAAAGCTCCAGTAAATCACAGAGTTGTGGCAGGTGTAAGCTTGTTTTTGTACATTTCTATCAGAAGCTTAAAGATTTGGTGGCAGGAGGAAAGATGTGTCGCTGTAGTCGAGTGCAGTTTACAAACTGATTGAACATTCAGCTCACTGTGAGGTTAAAATGATTCTCTGTGGTAAGACACACTGAGATCCATGCCAGGCGTTTTTCTAGCCTCACACACACACACACACACACACACACACACACACACACACACACACACACACACACACACACACACATTTGGTTTTTAACCCCGTTGGAACTTTCCATTGACTTCCATTCATAATTGTAACTATTTATGCCTAACCCAGACATTTTCCCTAAAGCTAACCATTACTGGTCTATAGTTAACCCTAACCTGAATCAGAACTTGATTGACACCATATCTAACTAGTAAAGCACAGTAGAGCTGCAAATAAAAAATAAAAATAAGAGGTCCTCACTTTACATAAAAGACCTCATTTTGATAGTAACTATGGTGCAAATGGTCCTTACTATGTAGTAAAACAAGTACACACACACACACACACACACCATAAAACAGAAAATTATGGAGCATCATCTCGAACGCTGTTCTAACTCGCTTCCTTTTAAAAGTTTGGATTCATGCAAGCAGTATTATCTAAACTTTACTGGTGTTTTTGCGTTATCATGTTGTTTACACAGAGGCTCGTGTTAGCTAGCTGTTGCACTTCCTGTTCAGCCCGGGACACTTCCTGTAGGATTATCATAACAAATCCACCTTAAAAACACATGTGAAACTGATGATAATGACAGTGTTTCCATTAATTTCCTTTTACATTTTGAGGTGTTTTCATTGGGAACAATTCACTTTGGTTTTAACCCTTCTGTGTCTAGCCATTAGTTTCTCTAAACTGAGGCCATTCAAAACACTATCTTCAGCAGGTAGCATATTATTTGTTCATYACCTTTCCACAAAGCATTACGTCAAAAATAGCTGAACTATAACAATTTGTGTGTTTTTATGACTGTTTGAGTTAGTGTAGTTTTGTGTGTGTGAGGCCTCCAGGCCAAACTGACATCATACTTCTTTGCCGTACAGATCCTTTCAAAGCTAAAATGATGTCATCCCCCCCCCCCACATACACACACTCACACACTGTTCCTCTGCCTCTGCTGGCCTGCGTGTTGTGGAGCATCCAACCAGACTAATGTTCAGAGACTGGGTCAGCTAAACTGCAGAAACACGAGCCGGCTGCAGGCTTTGTCCCCGGGAGGTCAGGCTCCATGAAAACCAGCCCCATTACCCCCTCAGACACACAGATGAATACATTTGACGAAGGAAGCAAAGCCTTTTCCTGCAGTAAATCACATTCAGGCTGCGCTGCTTCGGGAGGAGAGTTTTAATTGAGTTACTCTGCTGCTTGGGATGAAGATTGTTTTTAAACTTCACTTCATGGAGGCTCGTTTGTCAGGTTCCTGGTCAGAAAGTTAACTCTTTCAAGTACCGTCAAGTAAYATCCCAGTTGTTTCCTGTTTTGTCTGCCTGCGCACAACCACTTCCCAAGAGTCAAAATTAGCCGTGTGTTGATGTGAACACTGATATTGACAAATAATGTAACTGTCTGAGTCTGTGTAGGACTGTCTGTTAGCAAAATATCTCATGAATCTTTTGACAGARTTTAATGAAACTCCCAGAAAATAATAATTAGCTGACTGACATCTACAACAACTTTACCTTTTTGGAGTCGACCCAATCCAAGATGGCCGCCACGGATAATGGACTTTAACAAACACAAAAATAGCTACAACTCAAGTCAGTGGCTGTCTCAAACCAGGGTCTACAGCCCATGTAGGCCACCGCAGAAACAACTGGGAAATGAGACAGTCTAGTCTACAGATGACGTATGTTTGTGTGACCACACACTGCCCTACCGTGGTCATCGGCTTTATAT